TGCTAGGATCGGGTAGACTGAGGGCATGAACAAGAACTGATCAGGTTTGACATGATGGGCTAACGTGGGTCAATTAGATGCAACAGAAAATGGCCTTGTTTCTGCCATACTTTCAAAAAAATCTGTGTTTATAGCATGAAATGTGTGAAAAAATTAGTTCCCAAATGGCAAAAAAAAAAAAAGGTTTCAAAAAAGAAAAGGTGGGAAACAACTTCCAGGCTCAAATGGTGCACAGATGAAGCATCGTGCAGGTGTTTCTACATAAACAGTTCTTCACAGGTGAATGGACAAAGTGTCATCAAGCTGAGTCTGACGACGAAGTCAGCATTTAAGGACAATATTGGATTTAACTGTTTTTGAGAATCCCAGACAGGAAGTAGACAACTCTGGGATCAAGATACAGACTCTGTACGTTTGAACCCTTAAATTCATTATTTTCCTCTAAATGCTCCCACCAGGTTTCTGTTAACATCAGAGAAACAATTCTCCACTCTGATGCAGTGCTGTGTCTCATGTGCTACGGTTCTTTGAAGCTCTTTGAAATTCAAAATTTCTGGTGCACATTTAGCCAAAGGTCATCCTGGCAGATGTAGTAAAGGCAGGATAACCAACTGTCTAAGCAGACCAGGTTTACTGATGCGTATCTAGCTCCTTTGATTAACCACTAGTTTGTGATAAGTTAGCACCGCCTGGAGCAGAACGTCAGTGCTGTCAGCCCTTTGTCCTGCTTGTTGTATCCAAATCTCCTTTTAAAACCTGAAATGCTTTAATCTGTACTGAGCTCATGTGTTGTAAAGTTGTTTTCAACAGCCAGAAAACCACATGGCTAAGGTCGTACTATCACAGTACTGTCAGGCTGTGGAGACATTATTTTCTAAATTAATTGTTCAGTGAAAATAGAGAAAAACACCTGTTGTCAACATCAGACAGTCAAAGATTTTGAAATTTCTGTCAAACATAAGGTCCAATGGTCAGGTTTGAGAAGCTGTGAACATTGTAGTGATTTAATTTTCAGTCAGTCACCTAAATATACTGGTGACTACACTACTATACACTGGAGCTCATAAGGGTCCACGAACAGGTTTTTGCCCCAGGAGGTAAATCCAGCTGTGGGTGCACTTTGGGATCTCTATGGAATTTAAACTAAGTTTGGACAAGACAACATCAGATTTGACTGAAGTTCAGAAATTAAAATACGTTTATATACGTTTTTTAATTTGTGCACTATTTGAGCAGTTATGTTTTTGTCCAAGTAGCTTCCCGCCTGACGTTTTTTGGAACATTATAATAATTTCATGGTTTATTGTTGCCCGGCTGTCGGTCACACAACCCTCCAGTAGAAGGGCGACTCTGGTGATCAACATCATGTGAGACCTGTGTGAATCGTTAACGATGGCACTCGGTTGTTCCTGGACTGTGTCTCAGTCAGTTTAAGACATTTGGGACAAGGAGATGAGGTTTGACTCGTTTTGCTTTTGATACGTAGTTTCTGACTCACCTGTTGTCATTAAGCCCCGCCCACCAGAAACCAGGCCAAGCTGTGGTCTGGTTTGTGTAGTGCCTCATTGAAATGCTTCGACTGCCTGAGTGCTCTTGTTCAACGTGTGTGTTACTGTGTGTTTCCTGCCAGCGCAGTGGTGTGTTCACCTCTAACGTGCCTCCAGATGTTTGTTTTCACTTTGTACCTGGAGTTTTCTTCAGTAGCTGATATGTATATGTCTGCAGACTGAAGCAGTTTTATTAGTTTCAACTGAAAACTGCACTAATTGTTTCCCAGATGCTCCTAGACGTGACGTTCAGGTTAATATGAATGTTAGCTACATACATAGTACATAAATATGTTGAAATAACTGATTCTGATGTGTTTAATCATAATAAACCTACTACAGACAATCATGGGCTCATTTTTCTTCTCCAGAAGCTCAAGAGGTTTTGCCTGTAACTTCATTTATTTCACCAGTTTTTCTCAGTAGCTTTGGTTCATTTCTTGAAACATCACTATCATTATCACAACAGTTTACAGCTCAATGCTATGGTTCACCACCAAAAAGATAAACTCACCCAAAACATGTCGCTCATGTTTCAGAAGTACAGTCAGTAAATGCTTCCTTTCAGATTTCTTTAAAAGACAAACCCTTTTAAAGTGATATGTTCCATCAGTATTGTGTCTGAGGTTCTCAGTGTTTAGCTGTTTGGTCAGTGGAGCATTTGAAGTAATGTGCGGAAACTATTTCATTATACTGTAATATGTGAATTTAATACAGTACAGTTGGATAATACTGTAAAACACTGGCACAGTCAAGTCAAGTGTTTATTGTCATATGCACAGTGAGGAAATGTGTTTCCCTGTACAATGAAATTGTAAGATTTGAGTCTTATAGACTCTAGTTACTTTATCAGCTTTAGTTACTTCTCATACCTTTAGTTACCTTTCATAACTTTATTTCCTTGTTTATACATATTACAGCTGTATTTATGATTGTCCAGACCTGCTGAGCTTTGGTTATTCTTAATACATTTATTTTCCTTGTTTATATATCTTACAATTGTATTAATGATAATCTAGTAGAATCTGCTTCCTATGAATACTGTAACTTCTGTGTAGAGACTAGATGTCTGCATCTCTTTATGACCAGACAGCCTATTCACATTTTAGCAAAGGCCTGTTTTACACTCACACCTCGACCCACTTAGCACATCCCAAGCTTTGCTTTATCTTGGGATGTCCTGCAGATGCCGGGGGCTACCACCTGAGACACACACACACACACACACACACACACCTAGACTTTACCACATTCTAACCATGAGCTCTGTCTCTCTGATCCCAGCGCTGTATGACTTCACCTGTGCCCAGACTTTGAGTAAACTTCCTGTTCATTTTATACAGCCCTCTCCTGTCTTCACTTCTCACGCTTCCAACAAAAGAATCGGCTTAATTTCTAACAAAATTCTTACTTTGCCATCCGCATGAATGCCACACAATATAAGTGAAATATAAAGTAGATATGTAGGTGACACAAAATCTAAGGCACTTTAAAACAGCTAATTAAATTAGGCATAATGAAAAATACAACAAGAACACAATGTAGTGAAGAGACAATGTATACGACATGGGAGCTGTGTGTGCAAGTAGTCAGCAGTGAGTGTGCAATGATGCATGTGTGAACTGAGTATGTAAACAGTACAGGTGGAATTACATGAGGTAGATCCTGAGTCAGCTGTTTAGGAGTCTGATGGCAGAGGGAAAGAAAGAGGTTTTCAGTCTAGTGGTCCTACATTTCACACTTCTGAGCCTCTGACCAGAGGGTAGGGAGGTGAACAGTCCATGCTGGGGGTGGGTGGGGTCTTTGAGGATGGAGGCAGTGGAGTCCTGGTGATCTTCTCCACAGTCTTTACCACTCTCTCTTCACCGCGCTTGTGGTCCATAGCAGTAGTGCTGCCATACCAGACAGTGATGCAGCTGGTCAAGATGCTCTCAATGATGCAGCTGTAGAAGTTGCAAAGGATCCTAGGCGACATGCCAAACCTCCTCAGCCTCTTCAGGAAGTACAGCCACCGTTGGGCCTTCTTGACCAGCTGTGTGGTGTTAAGTGTCCAGGTGAGGTCCTCACTCCCAGGTACTTAAAGCACTGTATTACAGTAACTGTACAGTAATGTTTCCAAAGAAATATGTACTGTACAAGGAAAATGTTCCAGACAGCAGTCAGAAAGTGCAAACCTCCACCAAGACAGATTACTGTCCCCATAATGCCATTCCACTTAAAAGCAATATTCCCATGACAGTGTGACCCTCACAACAGGACCTCTTGACCATGAAAACATACCGCTGGCATACTTTGGTGTGCAGTTGATCTTAACATGCAGTTTTTGCCCAAGCATTGTGTGTGGAGTTAGGAGCAAACATACTGAAATTGACACCATGTCACAACGGGGAAGAGTCCTTTAAAAAGTTCCTGGATGCACACTTCTGCTATGATGTCATCACATGCAGAAGTCATGGCATTAAGCAGTGTCATTGGTCTTTCTGACACAACTACATATGCCACCTTGTGCATGTGATGTGAACAGTGAAATAATTCTTAAATGTTCTGTAATAAGTCTACTGAACTGAGTAGAAACTGATCTATTTTGATCCAGAGAACATATAGAACTGACACCTGCTCCATCTGTACACAGCTGCACTGAATCGTTTTCTGAAATAACAGCTGATGTTTGTAGGAAAAGACTGAGAAATACTGTTATGTTGCAAAGAAAAAACTATACGTATAGAATGTCAAACTCCTTTTGAACCCCTTGTCATTTGAATACTGAGCAAAGCTACTAAGAAAAACTGTAAAAGTAGTAGTACTACAATTTAAAAATACCCCCTTACAAGTAGAGGGTTCTGCATTCTTCGGAAGCTGTGGTGTTGGTGGGTTTGACCAGCAGGGGGCAGAAGCTCGACACCAACCAAAGATAGGTTGTGATGTGGCGATGTTTCACTCTGTACTTCAAGTAAACTGTAATTCTGATCTTGCAAACAGCCAATAACAAAACGGCCACACTGGCTGCTCTGGAGATTTCACTCACATCACATGGTTTTCAGGTGGGGTTATGTGTATATTTTATCAGCTCTGCATATTTTGTTTTCATTGGAGAGCAGCTCAGTCGAGACCCACAGCTGGTCAGAGGTGGAAGAAGTAATTAAGTAAAAGTATCAGAACCTCAGAGTAAAACTACCCCACTACAAGTAAAAGTCTTGCATTTAAAATCTGTAAAAGTCATTACTCATTAGGCAGCAGAAGGACCCATGTGTGTAGGGACAGACCATGAGAAAATGGGCCCCTGGACTCAAACAGGACAAAGGACCCTTTTCCCCAAAATGTGAAGAGGGTTTAGTGGCCAAGAACTATCTGGCCTGCAAAAAGGAAAGCCTTCCAATGAAAGATATTCAATCTATTTCCAACTTGACAGCTCTGCCAAAAAGAACAATAGACAATACAGTCTAATGCTCCAAAAATGAACTGACACGGTTTGGACTTGCTGGTGGGCTGGACATGGTGGTGGAGAGGGACTTTAAAACTAGATTAAGTGTATATACTTTGAATTGTTGACTCAAGTCATGAAATTATTGTTTTTTGCTAATGTATGTTGAACTAAATGATTTCATAAAGATGAACATGTCTACATTTTTACCTTACTAGTAGGTCTTTCAGTAGCAGCAATGTGGCAGTGCAATGGTGGTTTACACAAGGGATGTTCATATAGGACAATGTTATTTATGCAGCAGTCATTAAAGAAAAACATTTGTGTGATTTGAGTAATGGGGACCTGTGCCCCATTAGCACTTTATGTCTAGTAACACCCCTACTTTACATCCTGCTGGGTAGCTGGTGGATTTCCCATCAGGATCTTTGAGTCTGATGATTCTACTCTGGTTTGATTCATCTGATTCTGAAAAGGAACTAAAGTTATCAGATACATGCACTGCAGTAGAAAGTACACGGTTTGTCTCTGGCATGTAGTGAAGTCACAGTATGAAATAGCAGAACATGGAAATACTCCAGTATAGTACAAGTACCTAAAAGTATACTTCCACTACTGCTGTTACTGTGATTTTTCAGCCTCGAAGTGAGACCTCTTCGCGCGTTATCTGCTCGGACTACACGTCAGGGGGGATTTCCAGTGGGGAAGGAAATCAACTTTATGTAGTAGTGACAAACCTGCTGTCACCTGCAGGATTCCGCTGCTCGTCTTTGGGGTTTAAAATCACTGGATTCACTCGGATTTAAACGATTTTCTCTTTTTAAGCTTTGATGACGTGGTCTTGTCGTCTCCTGAGGTCCTCCAGTTAAACCAGTAGCTATAAATGAATCCCATGGTTCAGCATGGACAGGGCGAAATGATGCGTAAAAATCAACTGAAGTAAAGTGAAGTGGACTGAGGACTGTCACTTATAGTTCCGACTAGTTCCGGCCGAGCTAACCAGGTAAGAACACGGTAACTACACAGTCATTTTAACAGCTAACTACACTAATTAGTGGGCTATGCGTTTACAGTCCTTACTTGACCCACTACGAATCTGTGAGTCTTGGCAACTTTGTTGAGCTTTGTTAACTACGAATCTGTGAGTCTTGGCAACTTGCTTTGTTGTGCTACTCACTTCCTTATTAGACAGGCAACGTAACACCAAACTCTATGGTAAAATTGTAACTTAAAGTTGTCTTTCATGTTAGCAAACACAAGCATGTGTTGCATAAGCAGTCAAGATAGTTTTTATATTTGTGGTAATCGGTGGTAAATTCGGCGTGTTATATCGCAGACATGAAGTCCTTACTTTGGTCAGAGTCCTCACTTTGGTCTTAGCTTTGTTTTGGGTTCCTCGTATAACTTATAGCTTTTCGCGGTAGCAGAAAACAATGTGGGTGAACAGTAACCCATAGAAAAAGCCGAAACATTTACGGTATTTAACGTTTTCGTATATGTGGATGTTACGCTTGCCGATAAAAAAGCGGGATTGTTCTGATTCTAGTATTGTTAGATTTTTGTTCTGCAGTTCAAGGCCCATAAGGTGAATAGTAAGTAAATATCAAAGTGGTAGATTTTAGAATGGAGATTCGCGTTACGTTCTTCACACGGAACCTAACCCACTGTTCAAGGGCTAGCTCCCAGTTAGCTTGGGCAGGTAGCCGTTTGACACTTCTGGGAAAGCCTGTAACACGACGTTGACAGTCAGACATGGACTGTACTACTGCCGCTGCTGTATAAGTGTTGGCTGATAACAGCAGTTTATTATTAAATCGTTCACTTTAACGACACAAACAATAAAAACAGTCCGGTGGTGCTATATGTTAGCCACAGAGCTAGCGCGGTTGACACAGGCGCGCTCATGTGCGACCATTGCGGGAACGCGCGATGCCAAGCAGCATTAAGTGTGAGAGAAATCACTGCTCATTAACAGAAAGTAACGTAATGTCTGCGCTCAGGTGCTCAGGTGTAATTAAGGGCAGTTTTGAGGTTCCTGTACTTTCATTTTCTGCTGCTTTTTACTTGTAATAAATATAAATAATAAAATATAATCACCATTAAAATGATTGACCCCATGTCACAATGATAAGTACTTTAACTGTTTACTTTTAAATATTTTTTCTAATACTTTTGTACTTTTACAAAAATAAAATTTTGATGCAGGATATATTATACTTTAACTGAAGTAAAAGAGCTAGTACTTCTTCCAGCACTGACTAGTAGTAACACAGGACTTGGGCTAAACCTAGTTATTCACCAGTATGTAGAACTCTGGTGTTTTAGGCTAAAATGTCTGTTGTGCTTCAATTTAAATTAATTGTTTAATGAGTAGCAATGAGCCTTTGGTTTATATTAGTGGCCATTTGCATCATCAGGCACCGCCACAACCTCATCGACTGTTGTTTTTAGCGTTACTGAACATTGTGATGTGGCTGTAACTGCAGTGTTGTTGTCGGCAGACACCATGGCTGGAGACGACCACTACCTTCATACTACAAGCCAGGTGAGCTCACCTCTGATGCTGTGCCGCTATTGAACCTGTTTACTGACAGTGGAGGACGCACACACAGCACTGGGGCAGAAATGTGTTTTCACAAAGTCATAACAGTTTGGATAGAGACATTTTCACTCGTTAGGAAAAAAGCAGCTGCTGGAAGCCTGTGAGATCACTGTTTAGAGGTGAATGTGTGTGTGGCACCTCCCTGCATCACACCGGTTTTTAACCCGTCATAGACAGCGAGTTACAGTTTCAATACGCTTAGACTCAAAAAGTACTTGGTTAATGTAACAGTTGGCTGTTAAATATTTTATTTTGGAAATGTTGGACTTTTGTTTCTGATCTGAAAAATGATCCATGACTCAGAATCCAGGTTTGGATATGAACCATAATTTTTGTAATCCATCAAAACAACAGTTGAGCAGGGATAATAAAAACCTGCGGCACTTACGAGGGCATCATCATTAGGCATTAATACTCCACCACATGGCTGCTTCTGGTTTCAGGTGTAGGGGAAACATCCTGCGCTGCAGAAATGAACGAGTGTGAGCATCAAACAAACAGAATTTAAACAGGATCTTATTCCAAAGGCTTGTTTCTTTGCACGGTAGAGTTGTAACTTGCATGTGTAGATGCAGCGACAACCCGTGTTCAGTGGTTTTCAGAGATGCCCCAGAGTCCAGGGAGTGATTTCACTACAGAATCATGTCTGTGTTTAGTGAGGTGTCTCCTGAGGTGACAGTTAAGCATCTCAACTCTTGTTGGTCACACGGTTTTCACATCATGTTACATTTTTAATGACATCATGTTTCCTCCTGCAGTTTCTTCCTGACAATATAATGGATACAATGTGGGAGTTTCCAAACTTCCCTGCAATGCCTCAGACCATGTCTCTGAGGACAGGTGAGAGTCCGACCTGCTGCAGACGCTGCTCACACCCTCACATCGCTCGTTTTTATCTCTATATTATTTCATTGTTGAATTTTGTCAGCTGCATGCTGTGTGAGATGTAATGTCAGTGAAAGGCGGTACAGGTTTTTGTCTACCCTCATTACACAGACACACAGTGCTGATTGGACGTCTGGGCACTGACGAACTGATGAGGCGGTTTAAAGAAAAATGATCGACAGCTGCTCTGATAATTGTCATTTTTCAAGCTTCTACATTGTGACTTTGATTTGCTTCTGAAGTCCAAGTATAAAGTAGTAGAACACAGAAATACTCAAGTACAAATATCAGAAAGGTGTACATATGTACAGTACTTTAGTAAAGGTATTGAGTTACTTTCTACCTCTGGCGTTTGGTTGTAAACATGCAGCTCACAACAGATGGTGTATTTCAGGATAAACCAGCTGCAGCTTCAGACGGGGGAAACTTCAGAAATGGAACTTTCTTGTTTGGGAAAGCGAATGTGTCTAAAAAGTCCCACATGATGAACGTAAACAGGAGTTTTATGACGTATGGTTATCAGCTCTCTGTGGACCAGTGTCTCTCGGCTCTGACTTCCCTGTTTGTGCCCACATGAAGGGAAGGCAGGTGACAAATCAGTGGTTGTAGATGTGTAGGACGAGGGGAAAGTGTCTCATCTCTACATTTACATGTGACTAATACATGTGATTCATTAGGAGATGCAGCTTCAGTTCAACAGGCAGTAGTGGAGGAAGTATCACTTCAATCAGGAAATGAGTCTGAAAGCAGAATAAAGGACGCTCTGGCAGAACATGAGGTCATGTTCTGAAATGCTTAATTTCTACTAGATTAAATTAAAATAGGGTAATCAACTTTGTTTAAACGAAAGCACATCCTCCAGTGTAAAGACCTGAGTCCCCGACGGGAGCAGCAGAAGACATTTCCGTTCAGAGCCCATCTGCTAGTGGATATCTGTGACATTGGCCAGTGAAAAATACGACGTGTCGAGTTCTTGACATAAACTTATGAAAACATTAGATATTTCTGTGGTCACTGTGAGCACTGACTGAGATGTGTCTGAGACATTTTATAGTGTAAATAACCACATCACCAAGTTAGCGAGAAAAGTTTGAAAGTGCATCGTAAAGGGCCACTTTCGTACCTGTGCTCTGAGCTTTGACCTTTGACCTTTGACCTGTACACCACAGTCTTCTTCATAACATAACAAACTGACTGACCGTGTCCCCGAAAGCTTGTCACACTGCAGCTTCAACATGCTAAGAAGCAAGACACAAGCAAATCAGGAGAAAGTGTGCAGCATTTAGAGAAATGCTGTGAAGAGGGAAAACAGGAAAACACCCGAAACACCATGAAGTTCAGGAAACACAACCAGAGAGGGAAAACACAACATACTATGGAAAACTCGACCGGAAAAACACCAGCTCCAGAAAATGCAACCGGACATGGGTACGAAAAACACAACCAACTACTGAAAAGATGTCTAACTACGGACACTCTGCCATGTACAGAGAGCAGCGGACAGATACAGAATACATGACCAGACAGGAGATGGAAATGGTTACCGGAAAAAGGGTACAAATGAAAAGCGATTTGGAAGAGTGAATACTGAGTCATTCAGAAAGTGTCGCGATTAATTGGAAAATGGATCCTTTTGTCTGTCCCTAGCCCAAAGTGAAAGACTAGCCTCACTCTTCACAGTGAACAGAGCAAACTGAGCTTTTAGAAATCAGCCCCTGTCAGTTCAGCTGTCACCGGTCTGCTGAGGAGGCCGAGCAGCGCGCGGCTTCTGATTGCAGCTCATCTCCACTGACTGATGAACACAGCTGACGGCAGCTCTGCTGAGTGTGACGGGTGCAGGAGGAAGTGGCTGCAGCAGTCAGGAGCAGGATGCTGCCTGCGACGCGATGACACACGAAGCAGGCCCTGTTGAGAACTTACCGTTAGCTGCTGCTGCTACACAGAAGCTGTTTACCACACTGTGGTGGGATAATGAAGTGTGTTGCGTTCTTAACTTCACTGCTGGTTTGTTAACATCTATGTAGCTCATACAGACGAGGCCATTGGTGGTTAAAGGAATAGTTCAACACTTCTGTGACTCCTCTTGTTTCTCACGTTTTAAGAATTCATTGCATATGTGGTGTTGCAGTTAATGAATTGTCTTTTGTATATTTAACCCTGTTATTAAATTGGAGAGATCTTAAACTGGAGCAGTGTTTGCACGTGGAGCTCAGTGCCACGGTCTTTTTAACAATTTGCAACATAAAACTCACATTTAGTACTAAACCCAGGCAACCGTGTATGAGGCTCATATAAGTTCAAAATAAAGGAGGTTGTGAAGCTGGCAACATAAACAATATAAAGAAAATCATTCACCAGCCTTGACTTCAGTCAGTGATGCCAAGATTGTTCATGTAACTTCCCTCTGTCAGGTCTTCCTACTGTCTGCAGCAAAGAGCATGAAGCTTTGTTCTAAGTTTGTTGAGCCACTTCACACTTTGCTGATCAGTTTACTGTGCTTTATGTACTTGAGTTTGTTCAGAGAAAACATCTGTAACGTCTATCCAAAGAACACTGGGTCAGATCAATGTCTACACGTTGTGTCTTTGCACTTTGCCTGTGAAAAGGCTTTACATGATGTGCTGACTCTGTGTCTGCTTTCAGCGGACGGACCCTTCCTGCAGATCCTGGAGCAGCCCAAGCAGGTAACACTCACCTGTCCTCAATGTCTCCTGTTCCTGTCAGTGTTATCAGATCAGAATAAAACTACCTCCACTGAATGATAACTTTGAGCTACAAAGAAATGTACAGTGTTTTCTACTGTTATCACAGGAAAAGAAAATGATTCACAATAAACATCAGAGTCAGTTTTATTGGCCCAGCTTGTTCAAGCACACAAGGAGCTTGACTCGGCACAGAGGCTCTCAGTGTGCAGGAACAGAAACCGACCTACAGGCAGCGAATCATCTTTAGCCTTTTTCAGGAAGTGGTTCATAAATGTTACTTTGTCCTCGGCCTATTTGTACCTTACAGTAAAATTTAACAATAGAACGCAGTAAAGGTTTCGGAGGTATTATGGTAAAAGCCATGGGAAAACTGTCGTCTCTGCGTTTTGTTTTTCTTGTGTCACAGTTGCAGTCCTCATTAAAGTGCGAACAGTGGGCCACAGTTGAAGTGTCTGAAAAGTTTCTGAAAGTTTTTATTTACTGAGCAAACCAGCTTGAATCGGGTCTGTTGAGATCCATAACGTGAGCTTCAGGCAGGAAATACAGCCAAAATAATCTGGGCTGTTTTCAAGATTAGCTTTTCCTGCTAAATGCAGTGAGAATAAAACGTGTGTCGAACATCAGATTTTTTGGGAAACTGTGTGCACCAACCGTCTGAGGTTGATCACCGTGATGTCGTCTCATCGCCAACAACAATGAACAACTTCATATTATGCGTATTCAACAAATGCAGGTTGCCACATACAGATGGAGCTAAGAAATGGTTCAGCTGGGCTGCAGCTGATGAGGATTTCATGGTCAATTCTGTTGCCAGTTATTTTTTGATAAATTTATAGAATGTAAAGAATTGTCACAAAATGCCATTCAGTTTTCTCAATATTTTAAGTTTCCTGCCACATCTGAGAAGCTGGAGCCAGAGAACATTTCTTTTTGGCCTGAAAAACACCTGAAAATATTGGTCAATTATCAAAATGAATGCTGATGAATTTTCTTTTCATTGACTAATTAAATAACTGACTGATGAACTAAACAGAGCCCAGACATAGAGTTTAATGACCAGGTCAGGAGCAGAGAAGTTCTCCCTCTGATTGACCTGCTTCTGTTTGCGTTTCCTGACATCAGCTTGGCGTCAGGGTGATGCCAAGCTGTACCTGGCAGGCAGAAGCAGTCAGCGTCACACCTCTCGTCACCAGAGCCCTGACACCAGGCGGCTCCTGTAGCAGCAGTACTTTAACTGAAAACCTTTTTGTGCAGACAATTCACACATGGTACTGAAACACACCCTCATATTAACCTGATGTATGGCTTGGCCCTAATGTCACCTGTGGTACGCTTCCAGTTAATGTCCCTGAGTAGACTCGATGGAAACGGACTCGTACAGCACCGATGTCATTTAATGCCAGCTGTGCTGTGTTTTCCATCACACAGGATTAGATTAGACAGACCTTTCACTCTCTCCACTTGATGTGAGCGTCTTCCGCATCCGGTTTCTCCTCTTCTTCTACTTCTTTTTCATGTTTTCATTTGTGTACATTATATATTTAGTTGATTTATTAATATCAAATGTCCTGTTAGTTCATGAATGATCTGCAGAAAGAAGCTGAAAATTCTTCGGTCAAGAACAGAACATTTCTGTAAGCCTGGTGTGTTTCTGACTCAAAATATCAGCTGAACCTGATGGATCACTTTTAAGACCTCTCAAAATCATATTTTAGATGTTCTAAGACTTTTTGAGGCTACAGTTTAGATGACTGGATTTCAGACTTTTTAAGGACCTTGTACGTGATGCGACACATTTACTGCTCCCTGTATGTGTCCTCATGCATTTATCAATACAAACGGATAAAACAGGTACCTGCATATCTAAACCACAAAGTCCACAGGGGACATTTCACCTAAGCTGGTTTGCTGGTATCTGTGTCACAGCGTGTTCTCCTTCTCTTGTTTCCAGCGTGGATTCAGGTTCCGGTATGGCTGTGAAGGTCCGTCTCACGGTGGGCTGCCAGGAGCCTCTAGCGAGAAGAACAGGAAAACCTATCCCACCATCAAGGTAACGCTTCCTGTCCGACATGGCTTGCTCTGTGTCTTCCTGTCTCTGTAGTGCTCAAACGTCAGCATTGACCTGCCAGCTTCAGACTTTTGTTTGTTGTGTCCTTGCTGGCATCTCAGATAAGGCTGTCGTCAGGTCGCACAGAATGTCTGCCGAACATAAAGACCTTTAGTCTTGTTTCTGTGACGGTAAACAGCTTGAGGTAAACATCTCCACCAAGCTGACTCACCCGATGGGCCTTGACGACTTGAACTGACAGCAGCTGACACTTAAACCGAATTCCAGTGTTAAATGATGAGGCTAAAAATAATATCCAGGAAGTGATGAAAACCGTTTGCAGATTAATAAGAGGTTTGAGCAGAGAGTGATGTCGGCTTCTGGCCTCAACCACAAGGAGGAAATAAAAAGCAGAAGAGGAGTGAGCTGAGTTTGTTCGGGTAAAGGGGCTCGGCAGCTTGTTTGTGCAGTGTGAAAGGGTTTGGGCTTTGGAGTTTGTATATAATGTGACAGATCTGACATTAGGGAATCACAATTCATTGTGATTTGGCCTGAGCTGAAGGTAAAAAGCCACAGACCGTCAGAGTTTCGAACAATAGCTCTGCTGAATGTCCAAATTTGAAATTTGAAGTGAAAGGCAGAAGTAGAGAACTTTTAGTTGCTAACTTGAGAGTAAAAACTGATCCGACATGTTTGCACAGAGCTGCAGAGGATGTCATGGTGCATTTGAACATGTGATGTTTTGTTTTTTTTGTCAGGCTGCAAACAAACAACAAGAATAAATCTGACACTGATTTACTAATCTGTCACTTGTCAGTTTGGGACTGATCCGATTCCTCTGACGTAGTTTGTCTACTAGCAGCAGAACTCGTCCTTTTTTTCAGACAATGTCCTGTTCTCCATATTTATAGATTTATACATGATAAAGATTTTACATTGTTGTTAGTTTCTCCTGTAAGTTATTCCTGGATAGTTAGTTTTCACACAAATGACATTTTTAGAAATGCATCTGCGTACTTACAAAGTATGTGCTGGGTCTGTAAGATGAGTACTTTAGACTTTTCTGAAGTATGACTACTGCAGGTGTGATCAGTACGGGTAGCGACCTGTGGCTGACGGTGCGGTGCAGTGTCCAACATGCTTCACTAAAAGTGGAGAACCAAATCATTTCTGGTCCGGCAGGCAGGAATTCTACCTGCAGGGTCCCTTTGTTCTACTGTGGTCGTGGTCGGCTCTGTGACTGGCTTTAGCTGTTGTGTCTGCAACTCTGTCTGCGGCTGTCACAGTTACACAGCAGCTTAAATTTCCTGTCATGTCGTTGCTGCTGATTTTCTATTTGGAGTCTGCAGCTCCCACATGTTCCAACCAAACCAGCGCAGATGGGAAATCCCCAGATTCC